CAGATGTGTGAGTGAGAGGGAAAGGGGGAGGGGCCTGACTAGATCGCACTTGAAGCAGATCAAGACAAAATATAACACATATATGAATTAGACGAAGCAGACCTCATTCCATTGGCCAGCAGATTTCTCACCTGACATCCCACTAGTGCCCTACATTCCTCCAACACTAGCTGATAACACTTACATATACGACCTGAATGTTTTGAAGAGAAAATTATGATTGTCGCAGAATGCTGATATGACCTTATGCAGTAAGTTGCGAGCGCCGTAAAACCTCTACCTTTACAACAACAAAAATCAGAGTGCTGCAAAATATTGATGAAGAAAATATTCCAGAGAGCATCTAAAACGTTTCGCCAGTCATCTAGATACAGAGATGCCGCTATCGCAACAAACATATAAATCTGTCTTCTACCGTCTTCAGCATTTACCTCTATACTTGGGTGGAGAGCATAGGCCCCGAGTTCAAATCGGATCTGGTCGTTTCCCTTTCCTGTAGCCCCGTGCGCCACATAGTGAGCCCCCTCCTCTATGGCAACTTTCACCATGGCCCTGGGGGAGAAAAGGTCGAGAATATTTAGATTTCCGTCTTTGAGAGTGTCTGTCGCCTTTTTAGATGTTGCACGGACAGAAGGAAAAAAATATATGAACTATTAATTAAACGTCGGTCTTTGAGAATGTCTATCGCCTTTTTAGATATCACACTTGCACGTGAAAATACACATAAACAATTAATTAAACGTCTGTCTTTGAGGGTGTCTATTTTTGGCACTTATATGACCTAATTGTGTTGCAAGTGCCGTAAAACTCTTACCAACACTCAAAAAATCAACTGACTTACTTGGCGATGAGTGGGCGTGCAAGGGCTGTACCAAGGAGATATCTGTCCTCATAAGTGGCGTTCGCCTGAACGGCTGCCCAGATAAAGTCGTCCACGAAATCTTGCCGTAAATCGGGGATGATCATCTGTCGACAAAATCGGCAATGTTTGGGTGAGAGTTAAGAGAGGTTCGTCAACAAGATAACGTTATTTGGTGTGAGCTAAGAGATCTCAAACAGAGACTTTGTCACCAATGAAGAAGTGAAGCGGTGCATAAGAAGTGTAATATCAATGGTCAATCAACACAAGCTGAAATGGTATGGTAATGTCACCCGTTCTTCAGGCCTTGCTAATACCATTCCACTAGGCACTCTTCAGGGAAGACAAAGGAGAGGTAGACAGGAGAAGAGATTGGAGGATAACATCAAAGAATGGACAGCCATGGAGCTGCGGGGTACACTGAGCAAAGCTGAGTGCCGAGAGGAGAGGAGGAGAATTGTTGTCGTCTGTCTGAGGCGACCCAACGGATGACAAATCTACGGGAGCACATTAAGAAGAAAAAGATCTTCATCAACATGATGTTGGCCATTTTGTGGGAAGCACATTCTCATTGTCACAATAAAGGTAATTGCAGAAAGTAAAGAAAAGCATAGCATTATCGAAAGATAACGGTCATTTAGAGTGAGTGAAGCACATCGACAAGAAAAAGGTCCCGAAGTGTGAATGTTGACACAGTGATTGCCTTTTTACGTGTGTGTTCTTTATGACATTACAAGTGTACAGTATTATGTAATTGAAATCATTCTTGCCCGTAGTGGGCGCTATAGAAATGATCTTTTTATGTTACGGCCAAAAGACAATGTTCAACATTTTTAATGAAATTCGAATATGGTTTTTTTGGGGTGACTGTCATAACAGCATAGCCTTGCAATTTCAAAGACCTGTTCACGTCTGTAAATTTCGCAACACGAACTATTCAAACTTTTCTCTTTTTTTTACAATTTTCAAATGTGTGTGTGTGTGTGTGTGTGTTTGT